TGTAAAAAATGAAGTATAATTGCCGGAATAATTGAAGGAATAACGAAATGAAAATACTGGCCTTAAACGATATTAAATATGTCTATTGTGAGAGGAGTTGCTGATTGCCATTTGTGAAAATACCTATCTAGATAGATGGCAATTTAATATTTGATTTTTACTCATTTCAAACGTATGTAATACTGTATCTCCAAGTTTCATTTTTTTTTTTTATATAAAAGAGATTCTATAATTACCATCACAATCGTCAATTGCAACCTCTGAACAGGTACAATAATTATACTATAATCCACTCTAATCTATTCTTTGCTAACTTGTTTGTTTCAAGATAAGAGAAACAATATACATAGTTTCCTCATCGAACAGTTCCGTGCATAATTAAATCGACTCGTTGGGCCCATACGGCAAAAGAACTGTGATAAAACTTTCAGTCTCGCTATCACTGGTGCTAAAGTTTGCCCTCTCTACAACTCCATTCTCATTTCTGACACAGAATGATTGGAGGTATGTGTTCTTTGTACCGATCTCCACTCCTGAATCGATGCTTTTCGAAAAGTTGGATACGCCTGAGAGTTTGCGGAAATTTCCAAAGAAAACGCTGTCCGTTCCGATGCTTTCGGCGCCGCTTTCGCTCGCACCGTCACAGACCGATTCGGTCTCGTCGGTTTCCGATACGCTGCTCACCTCATCGTGTTTCAGCAGCTGTTTGTGCGAGCCGTTGCTGTCCGTGCTGCTCAAGTATCCGCTATCTTCTACTTTAATTCGTGATTGCTGACAGCCAGATACACGACTCGTGGAATCGCTGGTTGATTCGTTTCTGGAAGGTTTCGACAGATGCTTCTTGCTAGCTTGAGATTCGCTGTTCCTCCTCTGATCTTGTTTGTGGTATTGATCGAATATTTTCTTTTTATCTCTGCAACTACGAGAGTTGCTGCACGACGCGGAAGGATCGGATTTCGATTTGCCTCGCGTGGAATTGCTTCGGATTTGGCTTTCCAATTGGTGTCTGCATCTTGTCATCGATTCCTCGGGCTGCAATTGAGACTTGCAGTGGCAGAATGGTGAAATGGTCCCTACGTGGGCGTGTTCACAGGGGACAGGAGCACCGTTGCTGGTTGTAGGGTCACCCGCTTCGGCAGGACTCCTGTCCCAGCCGTTTTTTGACAGAGAGTTCGATAATAATTTCCCGTCCTTTACACGACGCGGAGGTTTCGGATGCTGATAGATATCCTCCGTAGGTGGTAATGGCACCACGTCCGGTTGGTTGCTCGGTTGTCGTTGCCTCTTCAATTGTCTGATCTCTGGTGTTAAATATTTACACTTTTTCCAAGACATCGAATCCTCTGAATGGCCGTTCAAGGATTTACTGCTGTTGGCCAAGTCTCTAGGATATGATTTCAACCTAGCTTCGTATATTTCTCGAAGGCTGCCATAGTTACGCTGCAAACAGGTGTCATTTCGCGACGAGTCCTGATCGCGGAAGCTGCCTTTGCTTTTAAGGAGGATTTGAGCAGGTCTTTCGAGGGAGTCTACATAAATCTCGTCGGGAACATCTTTCTCGTAGTTTACATCGTTGTTGATTTTCAGCTTCATTGGTTTCCTGTCCAACGTGTCGGGCTCGTATTCCGACTCGTCGTGTTTCACGTAGTTCTTTGGCGAATCTTGAACCTTGATTGTTAAATGTCCAGGATTTTCGGGCTCGTATTGAATCTCTGGCCCAGAATCGTCGCTGCATGCTGGACTATCATAGCCGTCGTTCACGTATACTTCGCTAACGAGCGAATAACTCTCCAATTTTTGCGAAGAGATTAATTCCGGCAGACTGTTGTAATAGCTTTTCTCGAGAACGTTCTTGTTCAGTTTGTTGGGCATCATCATTTCACCGGTCTTGGTGTTGATCACTGCGTTCTGCATCGTCAGTTCCTCGTCCATTGGTAAAGCGGTGGACAATGCTGGACTCGACTGATCGGTAGATTCTGGCGAAGTAGATGACTTTCGGCTGGACTTGGATCGTTCTAGACTATCCACTTCGTAATCCACGATATTCTCTGATCTTGAATGATGTTCCAGCACTTTCGCATCAACCATCTCGCGGATCACGGCATCCATTATACGTTTTGCTGTGTTCTTAGCATTTGGAAGCTCGTTGATCATATCCGGTAGATCTTTCCTCGATCGTGTCGAATCCTCGTTGCGTTTATTCGCTTGTTTCTGGAGCGAAGCCTCCGTTGCGTTTTCTTTCGTCTTATTACTTTCGTCCTTAGGAACTGCGATCTTCTTTTCCATTCTGGTGTCTGGTTTCTCCACCGTTTTTTCTTTTTCCAACGTCACGTTCTCTTCCATCTGTTTAATGAACGAATTCTCGATGGCCTTCCTCACTTTGTCATTGACAATATCATTGCCATTACCGATCAAAGAATCGCCGTTCTTTGACGAATAATAGCTCGATTCCTCGAACATCGACTTGGTCGACCGTTTCGAAACACTGTGTTGGTCGTCCATCTCGAGGATTTCGCTTCTCGCTACGTTCTGGAACGTTTTCATCATCGGTGGATTGTCCTTCCACGAGGAAAGAAGTCTCCCTGTTCCTGAACCTTTCACGCTCACATCGAACTCTCGTTTAGCTAATTCTTTCAAGTACTCCAAGTTCTTGTTGAACGTTTTCGTATTTTCCTGAAGCGTTTTTCGAGCTTCCTCAGCGTCTCGCCAGCGTCGCTGAGGCGTTGATCTGACGTCCTCCAACCACGCTCGAACTTTACTCTCACCTGGACTTGGTTGGTTAGCTTCCGTAAACGCGAGAGCGTCCCTAAACGAGTCTCTGCAACCTGGACATCCGGTGCATCGTTGGGATTTCCGCGACTTCGTGACGGAACTCTGAGCCGAATTCGATGCTGATTGTTGCTGATTCTTCGTGGTGTCGCAGTGTTCCGCGTTCGCTTCCTCTTCCGGGATACCTGAATCGTTGACAGATTGAATTAGTCGAGAGCTTCTTCTTTTTTGATTATCAGTGATGAGATCAAGCACATCGAAAGCTGACCAATTATATTTCGAAAAAAAAAAAAAAAAAAAAAAAAATGTATCGAATCTGAATGTGATAGGTTCGAAATTATCAAATTCTCTGTTCACTCAAAATCATTCTTCTCGATTGTTATTTTTACACAGTTGCAAATGCAAGCTGCGAAATAAAATTAATAGAAATATAATAGAAACATAATCCTCCTGAATTTTTCTAAGAATGCAACGAAAGGGCCAAGTGTTCAGTTGAAGATTTCAAGTGAACTCCTGAGAATTTGACAAGTACAGTGAACGAAGTACAGTCACTATGCCTTTACAGTAATAAATTCGATGTTACAAAGTAAACTACACATTGAATTTAATCTCATAGCTATTGATTATTGAAAAAAAAAAAAAAAAAGGAAAACGAAATTACTAACCGACAAGGGTAGGAATGAATCTCTTCGCTGCCATTTTGTACTTCGCGATAGAGATTACTTCTCGAATTTTGAGAAGAAACTCGATGGCTGCTGGAGGGGGCGCCTAGAAAAATGCCGGGCTGTCTTTAAATTATCTCGGAGTTATCAAGAGA